AACTTAGGAAAATATTCCCATTTCCAAAAAAAAAAAAAAAAAAGTGCATAATGGAGACTAATGACCATCCATAATTGTCCAAAAGTCCATCAAGCTTATTCTAAGCCACGGAATGACGATCCAAATGGAAAAATCCTCAAAAGTTAAAAAAATATTAAGTGCATAAAGAACCTTTCTGTATTAATTTTCTTCGCTTGTATTCAGTCATATGTCACAGTAAGTCCACTCACGTTTGTTTATATACTCTATTAAGCTTGGCCCACAGTGGTGGTGTGTTTTTGTGTGATGGATATGAGATGTTAAACTTCTGGCATTGTGTTCTCTGTATCGATTCTCACTTAGAGATGTTCTACCTGCCAAAAATGTTCTCATACTCTAGAAGGATGAGTTCTACAATCTGGTTCTGATAGACCATATGAACCGCCATATTGCCCGTCTCGATCTCCGGCCGCAGCAGGGTTGGGCCGAACACGATAGCCACGCTCTGGGTAGTCATCCTGTTCACCTCGCCATGATCTATCACTCTGAAAAAGAGAGAGAGAATAAGTGTCTTGTCTTTCTTTCCTGTAAAATGGTTAAAAATGTAACCATCATCAACAGTAGAGCTCATTATCTGCAAATAAAGAGCTTCCTTTTGTCTGACAAAGAAATCATGAAAGGTGAGTCTGTGGCAGGTAAATGCATTTTCTTTCTACATTAAAATGCCAAATCTGCTCAACGTCAGCGTTTTTTCATTAGGAAAAATGTTTGGATATTGTGCTTAAATTACACAAATACAGATGCCTTTTTCCCAGCTACAGCAAAATGTCAGACCATAATTTTTCTGGAACGCTATGCCTCCGTCCTCCATTTTGAGTTACAGTGAACCAAGAGCCATTTAAATGCAAATGGAGGCAAAGGCAAATGTCATTGTGCATGTTTGATATAGCAATTACGATTGAGACTCAATACTGGTCTGTAAATTACACAGTAAGGCACAGTCTCGTACAACAACATGGGGAAAATTATTCACTCTATATGTAGAGTGAAAATAGAGTTTTCTTTGTTTATTTCCCACTTCATTTTAACTTTGAGTTGATTTAAAGAAGCCTGAAGTAAGAATGCTGATGGTGTTAAGGTGATGTCCCTAAAAACACATCTGAATTTGTCTTAAAATCATGTACATGCACAGGTACGTCTAAATATAGTGTTGTCATTTCAGATTTACAAAACATTATAGCAAATCTCTAAGAGAGGAAACAATGGACACTTTGACCACTGCCCTTCATGAAGCTGAGAGCAAAATGAAGGTAGAAACGAACAGACCGAACAAGACAACTCCCTAAAGAAAGCCCAGAGTGATTAAAGATTCATGTGACTCTCACCTGCCACTGAGAAAGCAGCTTTATAGGTCATGATTATTTTAAGGTTTGGAAAGGATGTGATAACAGAGGTACTGTTAATAATTTATGGTTATAAAAAGTTGCTTCATAAACCTAAACCTACAAGAAAAAAAAAATAGTAGTTTTAGTAGGGAATATAGGGACTCCTATCTCCTTTCAGGTAAATCACACATTAGTCATTTTACCAGTCATTGCCTCTTGAATCACAACAGCCTGATGACTATAAAAGGCCCTAGTAAACGATGTAAGCTAATATACACTAATGTTCAAAATTTTGAATGAAATTAAAGCTCTTATTCAGGAAGGACACATTAAATTGATCAATAGTGACAATTAATACATTTATAATATAGATTTCTATTTCAATTAAGTTTTAATTTTATTTTTAAACTTTCTATTCATCAAAAAACTAAAACCTAAACAAAAATATTAAGCAGCAAAAATATTAAGCAGAAATGTTTCTTGACCACCAAATCAGCATATTAAAATGATTTCTGAAAGGTCATGTGACATTGAAGACTGGAGTAACTCCAAATGGTAATGAATGGTAATGTAATTACGTAAACAGGGTTTTTTCAGCAATTTTTTGTAGACATAAATAATAATTGATCAGATATTATAAAACAACTGATCGACAGATATTGTTCAAACAATCAAAACAAAACAAAACAAAAATAGTTTTGTTTTGTGTGTGTGTGTGTGTGTGTGTGTGTGTGTGTGTGTGTTTTTTTTTTTATGGGTTCGCGAATAGTTTTGTTTTGTGTGTGTGTGTGTGTGTGTGTGTGTGTGTGTGTGTGTGTTTTTTTTTTAATCGGTACCAGCCAGTATTGGATATTTAATTGTGTATGCGCATATATTTTTTACATTTAGATTATATTTGCCATAATCTAAAACTCACTTAAAGTTACTCTTTAAAAACATTGATAATTTAATAAAACTGTTAAATGTAACCTTTAGCAAATCTCAAAATTATCCATTTTTCATAATGTACATTATAATGTTGTGATGCCTAAATTCACTATAAAATGATTGACTGTACTTTTTAGTGTTTTATTTATTATCTTTATTTTTATTCAGGTAAAATAGTTTATAAATGTAGCATTGGCCAAAATTGTAATATCAGAGCAATCCTAGTAACAACAAAGTAAGTGGGTCATTTTAAACGTCAATCAGTCTCTTCCTGTCTAAATGGGCATGTCTTTGCCAAAAAGAGCTGCAAAGAGGATACCACTTGATGCAGATCAACACTACACAAGATCTACTAAAAGAGCCTGGAGCATCAGCAACATAACAGTTGCGTTCTCCACATCTGCCGTTTCCTGTGAAGCTCCCAAGGTTGATGTCACAGTCAAAAACTGTTTACACTGGCTGTTAACTAACTGAATTACATTCCTACTGCATCACAATCACAGACAGCGGGCCCTGGATTAACTACAGCACCTCACGCTCACACTTTCCTCCATACAGCCCTTCATGTTCTCTCTCTGTCAGTCTTCTGCTCTTAAAGGGGTCATATGACGCTTTTTTAAAGATCATTATTTTGTGTATTTGGTGTAACAGAATATGCTGACATGCTTTAATGAAAGGAAAACTTGAAATTGCATCATATGACCCCTTTAATATTTCTCAAGACTCTCTTTCTCTTTCTGTGGCTCGTGCATCACACCCCAGTGCCAATGGCAATGCATCAGTAGGATGTGGTGTACACCCTCCTTCCAGACTCTTCCTGTCCCTCTCTCCTGACCTGCTCCACATGTCTCTCTCTCTCTCTCTCTCTCTCATAATGATGTAGTTGGCTAGTCTCCAGGTCTGTCCCAGTAATGGATACAGTGAGATAACTCGATAGAGGCTTGCTGTGCAAAGCACTGACCACACCCTCCTCACCTCTAACAATCACACACACCAGCATGGCCCTAAATCAATAATGAATGATGATGGTTTGGAAAGGAAGGCCTTTTAACTCAAAATGACAAATCCATCCTTGCAATAAAGGGCCCTGTGAATAATATACTAAAGTTCCATTTAAAACACCGACAGGAGCAATTTTCTTTCCTTACCTTTTCAGGTGTTTGAATAACCCTTTCATTGTTTCCTGATTGGGTTTTGGCAACTGTTTGATCAAGTCTTTTATGGATTGGACTCGCTGCTTGTAATCGGAGTGTTCTGAAAAGTAAGCAAAATGAAAAAGCAGGATTAGGATACGGTTGAGATGCTACTGATGATCCAAGTCTGGGAACGGCAAGAAAAACTATTCCCAAGTCAAACTGCTCCCTCTTGTGGCTGATGCTTTATTAGTATTCTGGGAGCATAATAAAATCAATGTCCCTTCTGTACCCTTACTGAAAAGAACATTCAAAGAGCATTTTGTATATTTCTTGATCACCAAATCACCATATTAGAATGATTTCTGAAGGCTCGTGTGACAATTCACTGCAGTAATGGCTGCTGAAAATGTAGCTTTGCCATCCCATCACAGGAAAAATTGCATTTTTAAAAGGTATTAAAATCAAGGTCTTAAATTGCAATAATATTTCACAATATTACTTGTTTTACTGTATTTTTAATCAAATAAATGTAACCTTGGTAAGCATAAGAGACTTCTTTCATAAACATTAAAAAAAATTTCCTGAACCCAAACTTTAGAACAGTAGTGGTGTACATAAAAAAGCAAGAACATCTGAACATTTGTACAAAGGAGTTTACATAAGTGTCACAAATTCTTTTGATAAGTGACCAAGAAATGGTGAAGAATATTTTATACTTCATCTTCATTTTACATCACAGCATTTCTTTGTTTTAAACTGTTAAAAATCCTTAAAATCCTTGATTAAAATGGGGGAAAGGAGAATTTGAAGAAATTAATAGAAGTGGAAACATTCAAGAAAAACAAGACCAATACGAAACAACATTTCTGAGCCGCTCACACTTTTGCAGCTCACCTTAAACCTGATATCTAACAGACAGAAAAATGAAAGTACTCACTGATGGCTTCGACAAAGTCATTAAAGGATGCGTAAGTGAACAGAGGCTCTGGAAGCTCCCGGAAAAACATCTTCAGAGCACCTGTAGTCACGTGGATATCCTCCCATTTATTGTCTTCCAGATTCACCTTTTCATCTGCAGACAAATAAACACACCCTTCATATCGATTCAAACCAAAGCTGCTGACACACTATATCAGACTGATATACAATCATTTTCTACAACCATCTGATTGTTTGAACTTTGTCGTTATCTTCAGGGTAGGAAATGTGCCTGACTGTTATTTCAGTATCATTCATATACTATCATAGTATTTATTGAATTGGCTTTTATTTTTAGTTTTCAGTTTAAGTTTTAGTTATGTGGTCATGTGCTTTTGTCATTTTAATATTTTTTTTTAAGATATATACTTCTATATAGTTCTTTTATTTTAGTTTTCGTTTTAGTAATTTTAGTACTTCTATTTAAACTTATTTTATTTCAGTTCGTTGCCAAGGCAACACATTTGTAATTTTCATTTAAGCTTTTAAAGCTTAAGTTGTTCCATCTAATATTTTTTATTTAATTTTATTTCAGCTTTATTTCAATGACTAAAATTATATTTATTTATTTATTTCAAATGTATTTTTAATTGTTAGTTAACAATAAAAACACTGGTGGGTGAGAGCCGTTTGCGAGATTGTATCATTTTAAAAAACTACATTCAGAACTAAACAGTTCTTCTCTACCATGATTGACTGCAAAGCGCAGTTTCTGTATGACAGCCAGGTTTCCACTGACTCTGTACAAGCCATCGACATTCAAGCCTGAGAAAAAAATACAGAGATATGAGACAGGAAGTGGATGTAGTCCTAGAATGATAACTCAAAAATGTATAAGTAATCCAATTGATGAAACAAACAGATACATACCTGTATTCTCCACATGCTCAATGCACATCTTGACAAAATTAGGTACGGAAGTGCCTTCTCTCTGACACAGGGCATTCAAACTGCAGCCAAACACCTGATCTGAAAACAGACAGAAGGGTTAACAGAACTGCTTCCTCTTTATGTAGATCATTCATTAAAGCCCAAAACTCTAGTTAACTCCTAAGCTGTATGTGCTTCTATTAGTGTATTTTACCTTTTATGTAGCCCTTATCTCTGACAGCCTGTAAGGTGGGTCTCCGTGTGAGGAACTTCTTCAGTTTGACTCTGGTCTTCTTCTGCTCAGACGAATCCAAACTGGAGTTCTTTACTAGTGCACAAACACCCAGATGTGTGTCACGACTCATCAAACCCGGTGTCGTCATGATTTAGTTTACAAATGTATGTCTTCAGTACCTCTGTTTTTCTTTGAGTCTCGGGGGTCTTTCTCTCTGTCGTGTTTCTCAGTTCCAGGAGACTCGGGCATGTCCTCCTCAATGGCCTCATCAGACTCCCAAGCCTACAACACATGCATTATCATTACAATGAACCTTTGAACATCTATGTATGCTGTTTATGTCATAATTTTGTGCAGTGTGGTGTGTGTATTTCACTCACATGTGTGTTGATGGTCTCAGAAAGCGCTCTGAACCAGTCATTAATAACAGTGTCAATCTCAGACTGGATCAGCAGCTCTGTGCCCACTCGGGTCTTCAGCTGCCGGGGGCAGGTCAGATCAGGTCAGTGGGAGCATATTAGGCAGGAGTCAGGACAGATTCAGTTACAGTAAGAATATTTGTAGTTAATCCTGGAAAACTTGTATTGTAAATGGATAATTGTTATGTTACTTGGCAATCGTAATCAATCACCACACTGCAATTATGATAATTAATTGTATTACAGAATTTGATGCAATTTAATTAGATTTTCATTTCTAATAAACACTAAATAATTACTAATAAAAATGACTAAATTAGTAATAAATTAGCTATTTGTTAAACACATTTGTCTTTTATTGTAATGCTGCTGCCATTAAATAAAAAGCATGTTTTATAAAAGCAATAAGCCAGTAATGGCTGTGTGATACAGTAATTTTGCCACAGTTAAGAGAGTTCTAGGCACTGCGATTCACATCCGTACCAGTGAAAAAAAAATCACTGTAACTAACAGTATCTCATGGCTTACTGCTTTATTATAGTCTACTAATTCACCGGGAAATTGCTCTGTAATTACTGTAAATGAACCAGAATTGTTAAAACATTAACATTCTGTCATCATTTACTCACCCTCATGTTGTTCCAAACCTGTATGAGTTTCTTTCTTCTGTTGAGCACAAAAGAAGATATTTTGAAGAATGTTGGTAACCAACCAGTTGATGGTAGCCATTGACTTCCATAGTATGTAAAAAATACTTTAGAACCCAACAGCTACCGTCAACTGTTTGGTTAACAACATTCTTCAAAATATCTTCTTTTGTGCTCAACAGAAAAAATAAACTCATATTTGAGTATGAGCAAATGATGATAGACTATTCATTTTTGTGTGAACTATCCCTTTAAGTGTTTCCAACAATGTTGAAGATTTTAAGAAATCCAAAAGTAAAATCAGCTGACTCTCACCTCAATGACATGTTTCTTGCTGGACTTTTCTTTGGATGCCCACTCGACCGAACCTCCTCGCAGGTCCACCATGAATTCTGGTTTGGACTGGTTGCCTCCAAACTTGAAAAACAAGGTGAATTAAACAAATCAGTTTAAATCCTGTCACTCTCTAAGTAAATCATCGGGAGTTATTTAGGATTCTCTTTAGTCCAGTGCTGTTAAACACGAGCTATAGTGATGTTCCTGGGTCAAAAGCATTTTACGTGTCAATTAGTTTTGGGTGCCAAATGTACAATAATAGGTTAGACTTGAATATTAAATGCACATGCAACACTGTCTTATAATTTATGGCCTAAGTTTGCAAAGAGCATTCCCACATTTTGCTTTGCACAAAGCTAAGCTTCTTTTTGTATGTTGTGATAATACAGATGTTTACACATTCATACACCATAAAATAAATTAGTCGGAATACGCAGAAATGCATGCCAGCAAACATAAGGTTCTTAGTGCATCCATTTTCATTTACTATCTCTGGTTATTTGACATTGTAAAAGTTTAAAATTCACCCTCTCTTACTGGAGGAACTTCAAGCACATAGCAGGGGCCGATAAATGTGGCCAGAAAGTAGGACGTGCACAAATAAAATGGGAGACAAGCTGCCCTGCTCAGCTGATCTCAAAACAGATCTGCATCATACAATTATTTAAATAATGAACTTATATTAAATACTACTCATTTCTAAAATTTAGCCTATTTAAAACTATCTAATGAAGTTTATCAAATTCCAAATCTGTTAATCTAGGCAAAACTGTTCCTTGATCAGCATCGAGGGCACATTCACTCTGTCCAGAGAAGCTGACACATACAGAGGAAGCCCGGCTGCGTCTACAGTTTGTATAGGACACTGCGGGCCGGGGCTTAATCGAACGCTTCCAGTTACTTAGCAATGAAAGGAGGAGTTCAGGAAAGGAACCATTGTGGCAGTACGACTTTGAAGAGACAGGGAAGAGATGGAAGAAAGGAACAGAAAAGAGAGTGATGATGCATGAAAACACACATGGGAGAAATAAATGAAGGAGAGAGGTACAAATCAGCAAGAGAGCTAATATTAATAGTGATTTTACATAAAAGCACGTAGGCCTCTTTTTGTTTACACTTGTTGCCGAGCACTGAATGTGGATGCAGTTTGCATGATACACTCCAGCATAAATGCAGGCAAATTTGAGGTAGAAAAATCCTGCCAGTATTCAAAGCATGTAAATTGAAATAACGCTGACTAATAAGGTCAAGAATTACCAAGAGAATAATTCCACATTTGTCTCAGATGAACAGGCCATTGTAACCCGGCATGAATACATACCCAGCTGGTGCCACTGCCCTGACCCTTTGCAAAAAGTAAAGAGGATCCCTGCAGGACAGTCCAGGTGGAGGCCCAATTCTTCCTGCAGGACAATAAAAACAATAGATGCATCTGTGTCACTATTTTAAAGATCAAATGAGAAACTAGAAAAGGGAATAAAAACGCTTTTAAATGACCCATGCTTACATTTTTCATTGCAGCACAATACATGAATTCTTAGAGGCCACAAAATTTATTTTAAGAATATATAGGTGACACTTCAGTTTTAGTTACCTAACTATTAACTACAACTTTTGCCTCAAACTCTTAATTTACTCCTTACTAATAATTAGTAAGGTAGTAGTTATGTTTAGGTATGGGGTAGGATTAAGGGATCTAAAATATGGTCATGCAGAATAAGGCATAAATATATGCTTTATAAGTACTAATAATCAGCCAATATGCTAATAATATGCATGCTAATAAGCAACTAGTTCATAGTTAGAATTGGTCCCTGAATTGGTACTACCAATATATATTGCATATAAATATTATTATGATTTTATTAAAATGTCATTAGTTTATCTATTTCCCCACATCTATTAAAAAATAAATGGCAATATTCAGTGATGCAGTTTTTACCTGACTTTCTTGCCATGTTCAGTAATCTTGGTGACATTGAGAACACCACACTTTTCCGAGGGCTACAGAGAGCAGAAAAATTAGCTTAGTAAATAAAAATTTAAAGTAAAAAAATATATTACAAACAAAGGGAAAATAAGTAAAATAATAATATATATGAATATATATTATTATAACGAGTGTGTATATATA